GGTAGTGGTAGGTAGTGGTAGGTAGTAGGTAGTAGTAGGTAGTAGTAGGTAGTAGGTAGTACTAGGTAGTAGATAGTAGATCGTAGATCGTAGATCGTAGATAGTAGTTAGTAGATAATAAATAGTAGATGTAGTAGTAATAGTACTATTATTATTATTATTACTACTACTACTACTACCACCACTACTGTCGAGGACGATGTGGGGCTCTTTTCCTGATTCCCTGAGCACCCCGACCCTATGAGCAGTAGCCTGAAACTGAAGCACTCAGCCACGATCACCTTTGCCGGCACGCTCATCCGATGAAAATGGATAGCACCGGTTCAGTCGGCGAGGTTCGTGCGCAGTTGCTGCATCTGCGACTACTGCTGCTGCTAGTTCTACTGCAGCTGCTGCTGCTGCTGCCGCTGCTGACGAAGAATACGCGGACCGTCGGCTTCTCCAGCCTGACGAAGAACATGCAGACCCTCCTGCACCTTTGCCAGCAGAAGCTCGTCTGACTCGAGGATTTCTAGGAGCTCGGCGTTGTCCATCTCCAGAATCATTCCCGTGAGTTTGCCTGCCCAAGCCTCATTGATTCTGCGAACCTTGGGATACAAACGCTCTCCGATCATCTGCTTCTTGGCGGGGCCGGACGAAAGTGAATCCAGTTCCTGGGCAAAGAGATCTCGGGGGTCGAGGCGGACGAGGGTTAGGTGAGTATGTCCTGCTGGAGATACATGCCTTCCGATAGCTTGCGAACCAAGCAAGATCTCCTCGTTGCTTGTCAAGGAATAGTCCTGGGGAAATATACCCAGCTCGGTCGCCATAATTGCCTTTGCTTCTGAGACCGTCGTCCATGGGTTCACTGAGATGGAGCATTCGCGCCCACTAAGCAAGGCCCCCCGAACGACCAGTTGTCCTTGCATGCCACACTGATAGACCCTCGCGAGATCCGACGTCAGCAACGACTCGCTTGAAGAATGCAAGCCTTTCTCAACTTCCTGAAGAACAGGCAGTTCAAGGCCCGCCAAAGCCAGGTGCTCCAGCAGCATGCTGTTCAAAGCAGTCAGCACCTCTCCATCAGCCATGGCGACCACAATCCCAAAGGGCCCAATGTACCTATATAGTAGAATGTAGGGTTTCGAAATTAGGACTCACTATCATGATTTAGAGAAGTATCCCCCATAACAGTACATAGGACCCTTTGGGAATGACTACAACAAATGCTCTAACCAAGCAGTCTGCGAGCAGAAGTTGGCACGACGACACGGGCAAGTCCGACTTTAGCTCAGGGATTGAGTCGCACGGAAAATGCTCGAATCCTAGAGCCCCAAGCCGTACACCCAGCCCCAATCTGCAGTCTACCTGTGGTAAAGCCCCACATCCACCTGCTCACATCCTCTCAAATGAACGGTGCGACTGGTCGTCGCTGAAAACCCCCAGTTCCCAATTCCCCCCAAAAGGATGCCGGTGTTTACAACCGAATACACGTCATAAACCGAAGCCGACTCGAAACCGCTGTCCTGGTCATGGTGCATCAAGTTCAGGGCTCCGGGGGTCTCGTTTTCAGGCTTCGGGGTTTGAAAGGCTCCACGGCCCGAGAGCCCGAAACTAGCTGAGCATTCACACCCTGGTGGCAACCAGGGTGCATGTATGTATATATACAATACATGTATGCATATATATATATATGTATGTGTATGTATGTACATGTATATGTACATGTATATGTATATGTATATGTATATGTATGTGTACATGTATATGTATGTATATATATATATATATATATCTGTGCGTGTATGATGTCTGGCTGGCTGGATGGCTAGCTGGACGGATGCATGGATTAATGGATGCATGGCATGGCATGGCATGGACTGGGTTGGATGGATGCATGGCAGGATGGCATGGGTGGCATGGATGGCATGTATGCATGTATGGATGGGTGGAGGATGGATAGACAGAGGTAGGAAGGTAGGTAGGTAGGTAGGTAGGTAGGTAGGTAGGTAGGTAGGTAGGAGCGGGGTAGGGCAGGTAGGTCGGTGGGCAGGCAGGTATGCAGGTAGGTATAACTCGGTAGGAGGTAGACGGACAGATACACTGATGCATTGCTGAGCACAGTCCTTCGAATAGGGCTGGCCGGCGCGAATGGGCCTCGTCGACCGCACCAGCGGCCCAGGCCTGTGGATAGAGCTCGCGCATCCACAAAAACACAGAACGAACATGGGAAACAAGGGCGAGGACACTAAGAATAGTTGTATAGGACCCTACTAAGCCCCCAAAACCCTGAACCCCAAACCCTCTTTGCATCTCAACTGAAACCTTAAACATCCTTGATTGAACCCTGAACCCAACCTACAGATCAGCGTTAAAGACCCTCAAACCCTAAACCCCAAACCATACCCTTCCAGCCCGCCTTTCTAAGGATTTTAGGAGGGACCCCTATTAGGGACCCTTAATCTCACTACCTTAAATAACCATTGTATAGTACTTATATACCCCTTATATAGCCAGGTAGTCTCCATATTAACCCCAATAACCTACAAGGGTCCCTTTTAAGGGTCCCTCCTAAAGCCCTTAGAGCCTCGCTCTGGCCGGCAGCGGGGTGGCTTCAACCAGGGCAGAGATGCGCCCCGGTGTCTGCCCAGGAACTGCCTGGAGGGGTCCCAGGGTGTGCAGGGGCGGGTTCTGGGGTGTAGGCTTTATAGGGGTTTATGGGTTTGGGAAGGGGTTTATGGGTTTAGGAATAAGGTTTAGGGGTGTAGGCTTAAGGGGTTTATGGGTTTAGGAATAAGGTTTAGGGGTGTAGGCTTTAGGGGTTTATGGGTTTAGGAATAAGGTCTAGGTGTGTAGGCTTTAGGGGTTTATGGGGTTTAGGAATAAGGTTTAGGGGTTTACGGGGTTTAGGAATAAGGTTTAGGGGTGTAGGCTTTAGGGGTTTATGGGTTTAGGAGTAAGGTTTAGGGGTGTAGGCTTTAGGGGTTTATGGGTTTAGGAATAAGGTTTAGGGGCGTAGGCTTTAGGGGTTTATTCGTTTAGGAATAAGGTTCAGGGTGTAGGCTTTAGGGGTTTATGGGGTAAAGAGCAAGGTTTGCGGATTCGGGCTTAGGGTTTAGGGGTTAAGGGTTCAGAGGTGCAGGGATTCGGGCTTATGGTTGTTGAGCTTAGGGCTACCCTGGACACCTTGCAGACGTAATATAGGGACCTTAATAATTAGAATAGGGTTTGGGGGGTATCTTACACTATGAATATAACCAGGAACCCCTACAACCCTATTCTAATTATTCATGCCCCTACATTGTGTATTACACTGTAATTATAATTAAGGAACCCACCCAGAATAGTATAGGTAACTATCAAGGCCCCTATATTGCATGCGGAACATCTCTGCCGGGCCCACGCTTCAACCCTAAACTCAAACCTCCGAACTAATATAGGGGCCTGAAATAATTGCCTCTAGTCTTTTGGGAGATCCTTAATATATCTGTAGTCTGATAAACCCCAAAACCTTATTCAGGCCCCTAAACTTTAAACCCTAAACCCTATTCCAATTATTAAGGCCCCTTTTAAAGGACCCCTAATTCCACTTATTAAGCCCCCTGAACCCTGAACCCTATTCCAATTATTAAGGCCCCTTCTAAAGGAACCCTATTCTAATTATTCAGGCCCCTATATTACCCCTAAAAAACCCTATAAACCCTATAAACCCGATAAACATTATGAAGGCCCCCTTCTATTTCTGAATTAAAGCCCCTATACAAAACGAAAAGGAATATAAACCCTAAACCCTATTCCAATTATTAAGGCCCCTTTTTCTACACCCTCTTCTAATTATTCAGGCCCCTATGACATTACGAATAGGTTTTGCCCAGGGCCCCGGCGCGTCCCTTCACCCGCTGCGCGTTCATCGCCGATGTACAGGGGATGGGCTGACAGGAGACGGGAAGGGAGGTTAGGGCTTAGGGTTTAGGGTTTAGGGTTTATTTCGGGTTTAGGGTTTAGGGTTTCGGGTTTGTTCATTCTTGAGGGCGTAAAAGTTTCGGTGCTTTTCAGGGCCTTTGCTTTAGGTCAGGGCTTTGGACTTGGGTTTGGTGTCCACCTCTGGTGGCTGTGTCTGACTGTCGTGGGCGGGCTTCGCGTCTGGGGAACTGTCCATACCTACCTACCTACCTACCTACCTACCTACCTACCTACCTACCTATCTACATAGCTACCTACGTACCGACCGATATCCATACAGACATGCGCCAACAGATGTAATGCATAGATATGCTTCGATGATAGATGCCCACCTACCTGCCTACCTGCATATGCCTGCCTACTTGGAGGGTCGGGAGACTTGGTAAGTAGGTAATAAGTAGACTTATAAGTACCCTAAAAGGGACCCTAATTGGGGTTATAGTACTTATAAGTCTATAAAAATAACCATTTACTAAGTCCCCCGATCCTCCAAGTATCGACGTCTCTC